TAATCAAATCATATCATCCACGGTAATAAGGGTGGTGAGGGAAGGAAGTAGGTAAAATTGAATTCTGCGCACCGCAACCTGCGTGCGTGAAATGTTTGCAGCACATTTTCGTAGGTCAGCTAGTTCAACTTGGTTGTGCAGGAGTGGGTAGAAGAGCCCGCGGTATCCCATTTTTATCTTCTTTGGGATTTTTATCACCATCGCTCTGTCTGGAAATTTTATGTCAGTTACGCACAATTAAGAAGACCAGCAGCTCCATGCATTTCTTTTGGTCAAAACCCTCAGCTGATTTTTATCAGTTCTGATATCACTAATCTCCTTCGAAGCTTTCAACATCGCGAGAAAGACATTTTGAATTACGACTGCACAGCGTATTTTTTGTGGACTCAGAACCAAATGCTCAGTTGATATCGCAACTTGCTTCCGCACATTTCCGAGCAAGTTTGAGGGGAAACAAGAAACTAGTGCAAAGCAGGCTGTTGAGTATGTTGTATTCAAGACTTCAAGAAAAAGTGGAAAAACGATTCAGGGTAAAAAGCAGAAGATTTATATAGATTAGGGAACGCGCTTTCCTAATTTTATATAAATGTGTTAGCAGTTTCTTGGGAGTGACCCAGAAATAAAGCATTCAAAAGTGAGCTACAAAAACGACGGAAATTTTCCCAAACCTTTTCTGGAACTTCCCATAGTTTCACCTTGCACAGTGCTAGGGTGGTCCCCGTCAGATGCAAGAAGTTCGATCAACAAAAATGTCCGCATGCAGTTTTCGATCGCCCATCCGTGTTTTAATTGGCTTTCATCCAGCGCTTGCAGAGGTTTTTATGATTCTCCTGCGATTTTCAAGACGCAAATCAGCGAAATTGCGAGACGTGTACCTTGTGAGAAGACCCCCGCAGCACATAAAAAAAAAAAAAGACAAACAAAAAACTGCCCGTTCTCTAGGAATGATGCAGCGTGCACGGGAGTGCTAAAACATTATAAACTCATACACCGAATCCCCACAGTTTAGCAAGGAAAACATGGGTGCCTGACCAAGGCAATGAGTCTGAAACTATCTCGATAGAAATTCTGTTCATTAAGGGCCTGCACTTTTTCTACGCGAGTCTCATACTGATACCCGTACCAGGTGACACCTTCGGCATTCTGAGCGAAAAAAAAACTTTGTCGATCCATTGTCTAATCGATCTCTCCCAGACACCCTACCACCGTGTGAGCGACCACAGATGTGGACGATACACCCATGGAGATAAAAAGATCACTTAGAGAACCTCGCATAAAAAGCGGCAGTAAGGTATGTGCACAATAAAGACAATAGGTAGGAGAGTACTTCGATCAGCTCTTGTGAAATTGTTAATTAAATTATTGAAAAGTGAAAATAATAATAATATTGAAACACAACTACAACCACAGCCCCACGTGTGTTCCTTCCATGATACCGACTTTTGAACTTTGACGACAATCGGATATACATGTAATGGGCTTGTGAAGATCATTCTTCTTTGTTTGACGCGGCACTTTGGAACTAACATTGGCCATTCTCAGGGTTCCTTCCCCTATTCTCACTTTCTTTCCGATTTTTGACTTTAACACACAGCAAAATGGCTGCCACTTTTCTTTTTGTCTGTTGAAAGAACTTGGGCGTTTTCAAAGAGGAAGCTTGATTCAAGGCTAGAGGGGGTATGGAGGAAAAAATCAAAGGGATAGGGATGGAGGACAGAATTCTAGACGTCTCATGTACGCAGTGGAATTTTTGCAGTTCAAAAAACTGTCATGGCCGAAATTATGAAATATTAAGAATTTTCGATCAGTAATTTAAAGGCAAACCCCGGGATTAGCCCGACTAGTAAGAGGCTTAGGGGAAATTGTAAGGTCCGTACGTAACTGGATCACTCCAGCTTCGTCGCAAAAACTGCGCGGTTAGGGCGCTAGTCCTTACGGGCCCGCAACCATCGACTCCCCTTTCCAACGCATCCTACCCGCCGCGAGAGGTGGTGAGATCAGCGTGCATTGATGTAGAGATCAGCGTGCTCTCTCGCGTATTTTGTCTTCTTTGACCGCCCTTTCTCGCCATCGTACCACATCCGACCCTATTGAAGGTTAAGGCCTTAATTGCAGCGTTCCCAAGGATTTCTCTTGCTTTCCTTCCACTTTCAGGTCGTTCCGCAGCTAAGCTATCACTACAAAGCGCTGATTTAGCCAGTCGTCCCAGGTTTGCCTTTACCATTGCTGGAACGCGCCTGTTATAATTGCACCTCTGTTAGGTCTTTGGTCTCTCCTGTATCAGTAGCCAATGATTCCTTCAAAATTCTCCAAGCAGTTAGCGTATCCTTCTATTATATAAAGCGCTAACTTTGTGTGTCGGTTTGTGTATCTGTATGTGTGTGTGAGTGTGTGTATGTGTGTCCGTCCGCAAAATGAAGTGAGTGAGAAGGAAGCTCATGGGATAAACAAACCGCTAACAAATCGGGTAGCTTACAGGATTTGAGATATCAATGTTTTGTAGCAGGATAGTTGTGATAACACTCTTAGGGCTATATAAACACCTGCTTAGCACACTTCCGTTCATTCCACATGGTGCTGCAGTGGCAGCTGGAGGGCAGTGGAGAGAGGAAGGGAGGATGAGGAAGGGAAGCGAAAAATCTACCGTCATATCATGATTGTGTCCCTTCTACTGTATGAAACACCATTGTGTTGCATACGCGTCACTTCCAGGAGGTGGGTTGTTGGTGTCACAGGAGGAAGGACCATAGCGGAGGATAGAAAGCTTGCGCAGGAAAGGAAGGTCCTGGCGGTTGACGGGGGACTAATCTGGTAGATTATATTCCAGTGACTTGAAAGAGAAATGTTGGTGTTTGTAACTGGGGGTGAAAAATGTTTCGGGGGAAAAAATCGAGATTATTATGGCTTTCGCGTTGGTAGCTGTGACTGACCCATGTGCAGCACGCGGGATCCGCAATGGGTTAATATGCCAGAACCATTAATAATGCCAGCGAGAGTAAAATGTTCCCTTTCAAAACCTCATTTCAGATGTATTTTATGAAAAAATTCCTGTGAAGAACACGTTGTTATATATTAGGGAAGCGCTATTGACGGACTGAGTGGCACCACCCGAGGGTCGTTGCCACCAAAGGGTTAAGCGCTAATTACTAGCAGTCGTCAACAACGAGTCCGAGCAATCGTGACTGTGGTGTTGAAAATGTACAGAGTGACCAAAAATAACTCACCCAAACAATGAACTCATTTGCACATGAATAGCATCTGATGGCGATTGCGTACTGTATTCTGGTGAGGACCAGCAAGAGAAGATACAGCCAAGGCAACCTCATCTCCTTGTCACATCACGCCTGGAATGGAAGAAGCGTTTACACGCCGACTATCAGACGAATTTACGGATGGCTTTGCACGATTGAATTTGTATCGAGAAAATGGACAGAACAGGAGAAAGAGAGAGCGGGAGGGCAATGAAGAGAACGCTGTGATTAATTCACCTCGAATTCCGTTTGCTTTTCCCGATAGACTAGAATTAAGTGAAAGAGCGTTAAGGCGGGGGCATTTTCCAGCTGATGCATAAACGTCAATCACCAGCAGCCCACTCTCCTCCCATCTCGTCTTCAGGTTCGGCAATCATCACAAATCATCTGCCGACCATGGTCTCCGATAGCGCAGTTACCAGTAGGGACTTCCGGAAGAAATCCGAAGTAATTCGATGGAGTTCTTCATTTCGAGAGAGTTCCTTCGCCAAGCGTTGAATCATTCAGTGGCTTTTTACATTATTTCCGAGAAAGATCTCTTCATGCTTGATGCAAGTATTTTATCTATAGAGACAGAAGCAGTTTATACCAGGTTTAGCTGGCGCGAAGGATGCTCAAACCGGGGCCATACGTAGTTCACTGGCCCCATAAAGGAGTATCATAATGTGCCAGCCGCACTGTATTTTACAGTGCATTTTACGAAGGCGTATAGAATTCAGGGCGTAGGTTTGAAAAAGAGGGGTTTTTTGCGGTTTTTGTTCTGAAGAACTTACAAGAAAATTCCACGAAAGATACAGAGTTCCTCTCTCCTCAAAAATAAATGCCCCTCATTTCGCGGACTCCAAAAATATGGCTATTATTTCAG